AATTATTGTAAGCAATAACAAGCTAATGCTGAAATGCAAATCATCATTTTCACTAAATATGTGATGTGCACTGAATAATTCTTGGAAGAACTCATTTCCAGAAACAAAAATTAGGAGTGTAACAATTATTCATTTTTTACTTTAATGATCTTTTTTCCTTTTCTGTTGAATGGAGGGGTAAGGTTTATAACCTTATCATTCACTCATTAAATATATATTTAGCAAACCAGCAATTGACTTAAAGAACTTTAGTGTGAATACACTTGAAAACAGTTTCTTACCTGAGATAGCAGTGTCATTTTTGCTAGAGATGGTTTACTTCTTAGAAGACACTGAGCACGAGCAAGAGCTTCAAAACCTTGAGATACTTTTTTCTTCTCAAAGCCAATCTTTGCGACTGCACACTTTGAGAAAGAAACAATAATAAGGAAAGGGCATATAATAAGACTGCCATAAATTCAGGGAGTAAATTTCTGACCTATCTCCGTCCACGTCTTACCTCAGCTAGCGACATAGAAAGAATCAAGTCATCTGTATATGGCTTGGCATTTTGATGCTGAAGACTTGTCTGTCCAATCTCCAGCACAAGCTTTGATTCTCCAACCTGAATAAAAGGAACAGAATAGCAACAGTCAAAATTTCAACAAAAGATAGAAAATTTTGTATAAGTGAACTATTAGAAAATTACCAAAAAAAACTAAGCACATGCCAAGGTTACCTCTTGAAGAAGGCATAGAGCACCTGGCAACCAAGACCAAGGAATTCGAAGGGAAGATTTAGGGGGAATCTTTTCCCTCAGGTTACCAGCATATTCTGGCTCAAAAAGAAGCTTATCCCTAACATCCATCAGAAGATCCTGCAAAGCAATATTAGATAAGAGTAACAACCAACAGTCACTCTAATTACTTTATCTGCATGCATATCAAAAGCCAACTTTAGCAAAACTTTGTAATCAACTAATCACAAAGCATAACTGGTCCATACCTGACGAACTGTAACAACATCCATTGTGTAACCTTCATCAATTTCTGCATTTTTCAATCCCATAACTGCCTTAACAATTTCATCTTTCTCAGCTCGATCAGGAACACCAATGAGCTGCAAAGACATAACTGAGCGATAAAGCCTAAATCTTAAGACAGTGATTATTTTTTTTTTGGCCAAGGATGAGATAACACAATCTGAATATTTATCACTCTAATTATACGACTTAAATTATAAAAACCCATCATTGCGGCCGAACATTCCCAACCAACCACCAACTCCTTCAATACACTGAAAACAAAAATGCAGTAATCCAACCGCTTCCAATGTACCATAATTGCAGATAAGTACCGTTCAGCATGCAAGCCTAATACCACAATGGGATAAGGCATCAAACCAATATTTGAAATAGGAGATTCCTGCTTGATTTTATCTACTCAAACAACACTTTCTGTAACTGTCCTGTATCAGTAAATCACATTGGCATACTATTTTTGTAAAAAAACAAAACAGCAAAACAACCATTCTATCCAAAGAGAACATATATATTTATTTTTTGTATACAGTGATCATAGTAAGTTTCAAATCTAAGACCTTATCCATACTCCTTATCCAGATTATTTTTTGGAAAACATACAAGTACCGATAACCAAGTGAGGAAATTCCCCCACTATTTACCTGTCATCGTCCACTACTGAGAACTAGAAGACATTTTCAGTTTCAGAAAACATTTAATATTCATTATTTTCATTTTCATAATAATAATAATAACAAAACCTCAAACTGTCGTTACTTTATTTCTCACTTCCAAATATTTTCATTAAAAAAAAAATGCGTTTTTCTAAATCTAAACACACCACCCATTCTCCTCGCCAAGTAAAAATAAAAAAAATGAAAATAAATAAAAACAATACACACGCAAGCACGCGGAAAACGACAAAAACAGTCAGCTCTATCACCTGGTAGCAAGAAACCGGAATTTCAACTCCAACGCTGGATTTCGTCGGCGCGTTCTCGACAACGCGAGCGTCGCCGGACTTCAGCTTCCTCCTCTCGAGCGCGACGTCGCTCCTCCCGGCGTGCGACGAGACGCAAAACGACGGCGCGCCGGCCTCGCCGTGGGGACCGAGGAGCGGCGGCCTCTGGTCGCAGAAACCGATGCGCGCAACGCCGCAGAGAGAGGGAGCGATCGCAGCTGCGTAGGCAAACGCCATTCATTCCCCGCCAAAAACCTAAAACCCTAAGCGGTGGAATTCACCTCCGAGTTCCCAATGCGAAGAAACACACACATTGCGCGCAATTGGGAGCGAAACGGAAAACGCGAGAAGGGATATTTTGCAATTGGCCGTTTGGGAATGGATTGGGAGAGAAACAGAAAACGTGAGAAGGAAGTGATGAGAGTGCGCAGTGTGGAAAACGTTGCAGAGGGAAAAGAAGAACTGTAACGGAAAATGGTTGGTGGAGTTTAGGGAAATGGAAGTTAGTAAACAAAAAAATAAATAAATAAATCAGAGAAATTAATAGATTGTTATTTATGTCCTTATGTGAATTCAAGATGGGTGTTACTCAGATTGAACTCACTGATTGAATCTCTTGAGGGTTTTAACTTTTAACCTACCACTCATCATAATCTTTCTTTCCCTCCTCAATTAATTTTAGAATACACTTCCACTAATTAAATATTATTCTTCATATCATTTTTCTTTACTTATTTATTACTTTTTTTCAAACTTATATATAAATAAAAATTCTTAAATTTACATGTATTAAAAAAATTAGTTAAATTTATTTAATTTTATTAATTAATACAATTTTTACTTCCTAAATTACTTATATATATATATATGTTTAGAAAGGTAATTATAAAAATCAAGAATTGATTATAAATGGTGATTTATGATTAGATGATATGGTAAAATTATATATTACTTTTTTTTTCTTCATAACTTGTTTTAATTTAATGTTAGTTATGGCTCTATTAAAAATATTGAATTAAAAGTTTTAAGTTTTAATTTTGTGGTCCTTGTTATTAGATAAAAAAACTATATTTATCAGCTTCACCTATATAAGAAACTAACAAGTTACTATATTTGTTTTTTACGATATGTATGTATTAAGTATTAACCGAATAAACTAACAACTATTCTTCCAAACTATATATATTTATCTTATTTCTCCGTAAGAACTATGCATGTAAAAAGCCGTGTTAGTAATAATTTTTTTTCTTAGATTTATTATTATTAATTGACATTTATGAGAATCTATAAAATTACAAAAATTGGTAATATAATTCACGTAGTTTTGTGAGTTTTAAGATATTTTAAATAAGTATTGTTAACATTTTTGTACATGTAACAAAATTTATAAAAACAAAGAAGATAAATGTAAGTTTTTAATCTAAAAATGTAAATATAAATAGTTTTTTTTTATGCATTAGAAATAAATCAAAGCAAAAGAGAAGTGTGGTTTTGTAGATGAATAAACACCATTCCCCAAATGATATTTTATAAGGTGTGATTGAGAATATGATTTTGTAGCTCACTTTGAACTTCTTAGGGTAGCACCATAGTTAAGTTTTCAAAGTGTCAAGTAAATGCTCCATCTCCTATAAGTTTTTGTCGCATTTCTTTCATTTTCCACAACCTTTGATGACATCTACAAGTTACATCATTTTTCTTCATTTCATCCTCGCCCCTTTCTTGCCCTTGGTTCATGAGTTTTTAACGAGGGTGTTTGTGTCATTTCATAAAACTAAAATAAATTTAAAAGATAAAAAAATAGCTTTTGTTTTAGTTGTCTATTGATGATCTATTTGCGTTACGGCTTCACTGTAAAAAGCCTAAGCTTCTTCATACCATTTTTTTTTGGATTGTAAAAATTGGCACTCTCTACCGTAAAGAATCATAAAATAATATATTTTTTAATTTGTTTTTAATTATTCTCAAATCACTTTTTCTTTACATACATAATCTCTCCATATCATCATATTTACTAAAGTCTTAATCTCCATCATGATCGATGAAAGAGAGGCAGCAATTCATCCCTTTCTCAAGCCATTGGCTCATAATACTTCAATTATGCTTGTTAGAAAGAAGTCTTAATCACTTTGCTACTTCATGGTATTCGTGTGCAACAAAAGAAATTTCAAGAGTTTCTAACTTTTGTTATTTTTGTTTTGAATATAAAACCTTGCGATAAAAAGAGATTTCAAATTCACGACACAAAATTGTAACAAAACAAAATTAATTAGTCTAGAACATTTTTTTTATCTAAATCATTAATGGGTGATTATGGAATGTGATAAAAACTCTTGTAAAAATGATAATGCACATTCCATAAAAAGGTGGGTGAAAGTGGTATTTTAAATAAACATTAAAATAAATATTTGATTTAATAAATTAATTTAAATATTAAATAAAAATTGTTAAATTTGATTCATTTATTTAAATTTTTATTAATCTAATGATATTTAATCAATAGATCACCCATGAACCATTTTTGTAGAACACAAAATATTAAAAATATACTAATAAACCACCAAAATGATTGTTCATAGTAGAATCTGATGTAAAAATGTTTTCATTTCATTTGCGATTGTTTGTTCTGTCATACTTGTTTTCATTTTCTATTTCTAGGTTTGGGTTTGTTTAAAAATGAACTAGATTTTAAATAAATATTTTTATATTAGTTATATAACAATTGATGTGGAAATGTTCATTATAAAAGACACAAGTACCTCTCTTGTCTTTTATTTATGAATTAATCACTGTTTTATTTATGAATTAATCACCTATATACTGTAAGTTTTTTTACACTGACAATTAATCAAATTTTTTAATAATGTTATATTAATTACTTATTTAATAAAATAAAAATAAAATAAAATAATTTAAAAGATCTAATTGATTGTTAGTGTAAAAAAACTTTACACTGTGATTAACTCTTTATTTATTGCTTAATATCAACTTATATACTCAGGATTAAAAATAAAATGGCTACTTTTTTTATTTGTGTCCACAATTAAAATCTAGGCAATTCCACGAGCCAAACAAACCTTTACCAACCGCGATTTACAGGGAACACTGGCACAGCAAAAACAAACCCAACTCGTTCCCGCGTGTGAGCACTGAACAGAGAAGCTCGACCAACAATGGCGCGAGGGAAGGCGAAGAAGAAGGAAGAAGGTGAAGACACAGATGTGACAAACCCAGAAACCATAGAGCGGAAGAGGCTCAAATCCTTGGCCATTTCCCACAACATTCTCTCCGAGATCCCTGCCCGGAGCTCCGTCCACCTCAACCCTTCCTCCGTCGTGGCCAAGCACCACGGCAAAGACATCATCAAAAAGTCTCAGAGGAAGAGCAGCAGGTACCTGTTTTCGTTTTCCGGTCTAATTGCTCCCATTGCCGGTGGCAAGATCGGTGAACTCAAGGACTTGGGCACCAAAAACCCCGTTCTCTACCTTGATTTCCCCCAGGTCGTTTTTCTCTCTGTTTTTTCGGATTTCGACTGCAAGTTGGGGTTTTGGGATGTGGGTTTGGCTTGGTTTTGAGTTTCGGGAATTGGGTAGTGACCATTGGAAATTGGGGTTGTTTTAATCGCTTAAAATGATAATTTAGGGCATGTATGGATAAACAAGCACTTATAAGAGAAAAAGTACAAAAGAAAAAGAAAATGTTTTTTTTCTTTGGTAGCTAATTTGTAGAAGTTTTCACTTCTCCAAAAACTTTTTTTTTTTTTTCAACTTGTGCATAAGCTAATTTTAACTTATAAAAAAGTTAATTTTATTTTACTTTCCTATTTTCTTTTCTTGTAGTTATTTATGGAAAAGTTTATCCAAACAAGCCTTTAGTCATTGAGAGTGTTACTCTAACTTGGTTTTAACTTTGATTTTAATTTGTGTGTATGTTTTGGTACTTAAATTATTTAAACGTCCGTTGTTGTGTGTGATCCATTTAGCCAATCTCACCTGGTGGGATATTTTTTTTGTTAGCCTGTTTTAAGCATATTAATTTTTTTAGCCTTCTACTTGAAATATTGTTTGTGTTGCTAGTTTTTAGTACGAGTGTTTGCATTTGTTTTCTCTTGGTTCTGTTTGGCTTCTTTTGAGAAATGTTAAGGAAGGGAGTTTATGATGAATCTGTTATCTGTGAACATCGAATGTATGCTGTTGTGTTGTAAGGTTGACTAAGCTTGTGTGGTGGTAGCTCATGCAGTCATACACACTGATTGAGTTATGTGCTGAGCAGAAGTTTAGGGGAACTAGTAAAGTAAATTTTATTAAAGTTGTAATGGGTTTGCCAATTTATTGTTGCTATCAGTGAGTGTATCAAATGGAACTGTAACAAGGTAATTCCAGGACTAATAACAGACCATGGTTACTGGTTAAAGAATACTCATGATTTAAAGCAAAGAAGTAATAAGTAGTGGCCTGCAGCAAGAAATTCAGAGAAAGGCTAGATAGAAGAGCGCAGACTTTGAATACAAATTGCTCCATCCCCTCCTTCCCCCTTCCTCTCCTAATTCTCTTCAAGACCCTCCTCATGAATTACCTTCATGTGGGCTTACCACTAAGCACCATGATCTATAAGTTGTACCTGACCCTGATATTCCTTGACTTGTAGTTAACTAGTCTAATTCAGCATAATTATCAATGACAACTTGTTGGTCAAAGTCTTGTTGGAGGAGAGTGGAAATTAAAAGAGGAAACGTTTTCTTTAATATATGATATATCTATTGTTTCTCTTTTAAATTTTGGATCATTTTAAGACTTTTGATATGGTATATTGTGTATTGCTAATGTTAACTCTTAACTGACAAGATGCATTTTCACTTTACAGGGTCAAATGAAGTTATTCGGGACCATTGTATATCCAAAGAACAGATACCTGACTTTACAGTTCTCTAGAGGCGGAAAGGGTGTAATGTGCGAGGATTATTTTGATAACATGGTTTGTTCTTTTTACCCATCCTGGTTATTTTTGTTTTCCTTTGAGGCATGGATTAGAGCAGGACCTATTGATGTTTATTTATAAGGGGACTAATAAATGCTCAGTCAAAGAACTTCCTTGTGCATACTTACAGCCTTTTCATATCATAATTTTATATTAGGTAAATAGGTACATGGGTAATAGTTATATTAATAAGCATACCTTCTTTCTTGTTACGTTCTCCTTATCAGAAAACAGGGGTTCTAACTGATTTGTAATACGTAGGATGGATAGAATGATGCATTGATTTCTCCAGAATATTGTGGAAAGTAGCCAACAGAACTAAACTTGAGTTAGTGCTGTCACAATTCCCATTTCATACATAATACAATTTTAATAATTATGTTTATGATATTAGAGTGAATGTTATGACTGATTCATTTCTCCTTTGAAACATACATGTATCTATGTCTAAAATCGCTGGTGTTCTTCCCCTTCCTCTTCCTGTTTTGACTTCTTGTTGGTATAGGAATTAATATTTTATGCATTTCTTCTTTCTTCTTCATTTACTAATTTATTTCTGGAATTGAACCGTTTGTGTATATTCACCTATGTTCCTTATCAGCAATATCTTTATTTTACTAGATTGTATTTTCGGATGCATGGTGGATCGGGAGGAAAGATGAAAACCCAGAAGAAGCCAAACTTGAATTTCCTAAGGAATTGTATGAGGTTGGGAGTTTTAACAATATAATAGTTGCCTGGCATAAGAAGTAACTTTTTTGTTTTTATTGTTTGGTCTGTAGAGAATATGAAGTCCATTCACGTAATGTCCTTCTATTTCAGGGACCCCAAGCTGAATATGACTTTAAAGGGGGTGCAGGTGCCGGTGCAACTTCTGTAGTTAATCACGATGTTCCCAGAACCAGGATTCAACGTGTAGAGCAAGAGTCACCAAAGACACCCACTGAAGATGATTTGTCAGACAGTGAAGTCAATTTAGAAGATACAAAGGAATCGGTCCCTGTTCGGCATTCAGCAAGAACTGCAAGAAAATCTTATAAGTATAAGCCTCTTCTATATCAGTTTACTCAATATGTGCTGCTTTCAAGCCACAAAGTTTTGAAAAATAAATTGTTATGTTGTGTGTAACAATGCATTATTTGCTTAAAAATATAATTTTAATATTTTTGTTTTTGTTTGACCATTTATTTTAAGTTATTTAACATAAAGTGGAATGTCTGACTTGAGTAAAAGTTGTAGCATTTGCGACTGGAAGTCCTATTCATTTGGTTTTTTTGTTGGACCAGATTTGCTGAAATTTCTTCTGGTGATGATTCTGGTGAAAACAGCCCTGACCTTTCGGAACATGAAGAGAAAGCAGCAGAAGTTGATAATTCTGTAAATGATCATAATAACTCAAATATCCTCACTGTCAGTTTGGTATCCCCTTAAAATTGTGGGCGAAAAATGCTAGATGTGCTTTCACAAACAGTTCTTTTATATAAACTTCATCTCTGAATTTTGCACCTCATTTCTGAGGTTACTCCAAACTGACCCCTATACTTTATTAGTTGATAGGATGGCTGTGTTCATTTTTAATTTTCCTTTTGATCTCCTGTCAACCTGAAATTGATAGCTTCTTGATCTTATATAGCTTATGTTATCAATAAATTTATATATTATCTTCCTTAATTCACAGATGCAGAAAAAAACTGTAGTTTTTGACCTTGATAATAAGGATGATGCACCAGTAGATCAACTGGCCGTGGAAAATAATGAGTCTGCTTCTCGTTCAAAATGTAAAAAAGTGTCTCAATCTCCTTCAGCCAGTGCATCTACTGAAGTTAAGTCCAGTAATCGTGGTTCACTTGTTCAGGCTACTATATCCACATTATTCAAGAAAGTGGAAGAAAAGGTAAGCTTTTGAAATTGTTAGCATGAGACTCAAGTCTCAACCCTTACTAGCTTTAAAGAAAAATGTCAAATTGTTTGTTCATCATTTATATATTTTATAAATGTATAATAGCTGTATGCATGTGTTAGGCCTAGGGATGGCAAAGTCTGGCCCATTTAGGCCCGTCTCACTGTTTGCCCGCCAAAAATAGGTTGAGCTGAGCTAGCTTGCCAAGTAAAAACAGGCTAGACACCCCTGCCCTGCCTTGCCTTGCCTAAGGGTGAGTTAGCAGGCCAGCGAGCCATCCCGCCAAAAAAATTTAAAAAAAAGGAAAAAAAAAATGTTTGCATATTTAATTTGGTACCTCTTCCAACATATTTCTTTCTTGGATTTGACTCTTCTTAAGTGAGGGGTGTACTTTAGAGGATAAAATACAGTCACAATTGTTGATTATAAAATCAACAATTAAGATTTGTGATAAAATCAAATTCTTGCAAAATAAAATCTATAATTAATTATAATATCAATGGTTGTTTTTTTTAATCAATGACTGTTATTTCACTTTATTCTCTAAAGGACTCACATAAATTAATGTTCCTAAATAATAAAATAAATCTCAAATTATAATAGATTTGGTTTGATTTGTTACACAACAGATCTCAAATTTGTTATATAATAAAATAGATATGTAATTATAATAATAATATCTCTTCCAACAAATTTGCTGTGCAAAAAATCTCAAATCATATATAATAAAATAAATCAAATGCATAACATATTTGTTGCATAATAAATCATAGAATACTCACATAATAAATTTCGTGTGACTTATTTAAAGCTAACATTAAAAAAAAAAAAAAAAAAGGCAGGCCGACGGGTTGGCACGTTAGATGGGGTGGGCTAGTGGGTTACGACGTCTAACTCGGCCCGCCAATTTTTGGAGGGCCAATAGGTTAGCTTGCAAGCTGGGGGACCCATTTTGCCATCCCTTAGGCCCCCAATTAATGAAGTCCATAGTAGAAGGTCTAAAAGGGCTGAATTAGAGTGACCCAACTCTGTGGTAATTAGCTGACTAGAATATGGAAAGGGGGGCAGACTATACTTAGACTTTATAGAGTTTGAGCTTATGGCCTAATTCTGCTGAATCTATCCCACAAAATTGACTTGTAAGGTAAGGACTGTTCAAGCTTTATAAGATCTACTTAAGGCATATCTCTAGTTGATGCAGGATTAAACTGCCTAAGAGCTGCATCCCCTTATGTCTATGGCTATAGACCTAGAGCATGGCCAACCGGCAATGCAAGTGACCCAACAATGGATTTAGGAGAGGCTATGATACCATCTTAGAATTTGGGTTTAGAGCCTATTTCAATCCCACAAAACCAGCTTATAAAATGAGGATTGTTCAAGTTTTATAAGCATTGCTTAAGCCATATCTTTAATTAATAGTTCCTGGTTGTTGAACTTTAGACGGTTAACTCAACTTTTTTGGTCAGGTCCTTCATAGGTAGCCCTTTCTAGCAAGGGGTGATCACTATTAAGGTGGTTTTCCAAAACCTAGTTACCATAGAAATGAGAGAATAATTTCAGAGAAACCTTGTAATGAGGGGTCAATTTTGACAATTGGAGAGTTTGTTATAGGGCTCTCGAAATTCCCTGAGTTTGTATCTCATTCCTTCCTCTTGAGGAAATCTTTCCAAGAGAGTTTCAGATCAATGATACGTACTATCTTGCAATTTTGTTCTTTCTTCATCCATACCTAGGTGTACCAGTACCTTACCGCATGTCATTATTAGGTTCCTATTATTTCCTACATAAAAAATATTATGGTAAAATAGCACATAACATGTGTGATGCTTTGAAGTTATGTGTTTACTGTGTCTCTAAGCAACTGTGCAAAAGGTTATCTTGATCTCTCGCTAGTCATTAGGCTATGTTATCATTTGATCTCCTTGATTAAACCTTTCCATGAATAGATAAATGTTCATGATTGTTTATATCTATAAAGTAATTTCTATATGATTTAGAAGACCCTAGTTTTACAATGGTTTTATCTTCTTACTAAACTGGTTCCATATCATGTACATACTGCCTGGTATTGCTCAACACCCGTCAAATTGATCATCTTACAAAAATCTAATATTTTTCAGAAGACTCCAAGAAACTCAAGGAAATCTCCATCAAAAGGTTATACTTTTCCTAGTTTCTCTTGCATTATTTCGAGCAAGATTATGAAGATTGAATAACAAAAAATATTGATGTTTTTCAGCATCTGGGAAGAAGTTGCAGCCTGCTGGTTCAAAAAGAAAGATTGATCTGGTTGAATTTTCTTTTTCTTAATTTCCCGAATCTCTCTTTCCTCAAGTGGGAATGAGAAATTTCCTTAATTGGCTATAAGTGTTTCACGTTGGAGTTGAATACATGCTGAGTTATTGGCTATTATTGTAGGATGAAGGATCCAAGAAAAGGGCAAGAAAGACCAAGGACAAAGATCCTGGTGAGTATTCTCCCTTCTTCCCTTTGATAAAATGAATGAATATGCATCTCTTGATATTTGGTAAGACCACAATGTGGAGAAAATTGCTGATCCCTGTACCCCTCATTGCGGTGATGTTTGTAGTTATGGTGGGTAGTGACAAGGACCCAACCGAATAAAAATTAGATGCATGTTATTGAAGCTGTATTATGCTAGAAATGATATAAAAGTTGTGAGAATTGATACTTGTTTGGAAAAGTTTAACATGCCCATCTGTACATGATTTAAATGTTCTTGTGTCCAACTTCAGAGTTGCCACAGATATTGCTTGCTCTTTAAATTTGTCTGACAATATTGAAGATAGGATTTGTTCAAGGATCTCCAGATGCTCCTCTTTTACTTTAGAGGTTTTGGCACTAATAAGGATGCTAAAAGTTTGGCGATGTTCTCAATTTGCATTTGTTTGGCGTGTTTTGTTGGAAAGAAATGTTAGAAATTTCACTTGTCAAGTATCACCTTTGGATTTCATTTGGGACAGAGTTGTTCACTTGGGTTTTTTGTGGTATTATGCCAAAGTTCTTTTTATGGGGTTGTCTTTGGAAGGTCTTCAGAGAGATTGGCGTGTTGTAATACATGTTTCACGTTCTTAGTCTTTTGCTTTCTTCTTTCTTAATAAATTCCGTTTATCCAAAAAAAAAAACAGTTGTCAGCAATATAATTTTCCGGTAAGGATTAGTTCTAGATTATTATTTTAGATATATAAATTTTGGCCTTGTTGATGATGCCAAACTGGCATAGTATATGGCTTGTTTTGGCCTTGTATGATTTTCTTATTGTTGTAGTATCTGTCTAAATATTTTAAAAAATTTATATTCGGATACACGTTCTTTTTCAGATAACTACCAATCTGCACTTAAAACTTGTGTCTTAAAATAAGCTGTTGCGTAAATAAACTTATACTAACTTACCATGTGCGTAACTTTTTTAGGTGGAAAAAACAAGGCAAAAAGCAAGGCATACGATGTAAGTTTATCCTCTTTCTTGAAACTCCATGCCTTTAAGTGATTGAATCTTCTTTTAACGTTTTCTTATGTTTTGTGCTTAATCATAATACTACCCAACTCAGCAACTGATAGGAAAGCAATTTGCAAACTGTGTTATCCATTGGCATCTCTAATTATTTCCTGGGATCAGCTTTGCTTTTAACAATTGCTACCGCTAATTTATCATCTCACTTTTGATTTCTATGCTATTAAATTTGTCTACTTTGCTTTCTACTTCTTGGAGTACTCCTGGGTCGGTTTGTACATATTCAAGTCAATATCTTTGTTTGATTTCATCCCAGATAATTTTGCATCTTCACGTGCTTCTTGTTTACTTGTCCCCTTTAGTTTTAATATCTATAATTCTGTATTGTTATATTTTATTTTTAATTTTTTTTCCCTTTCCACATATCATTGATTTCATTAATATTTTTGGTTAGAGCTTTTGCGCTGTTTTTCTTGTTGAGTTTTCAAACTTTTTGCGTGGTAGACTGTTCTGAAAAATCAATTCATTCCTAATGTCTCAAGGGTCATAAGAACTTCAATGTGAAAAGGCAGAAAGGAATATATATGTATAGATAAATATAAGTAACACACTCTTTTAAATACTCTCACTCTAATTGGTTGAAATTTATTGGAAAACATAAAATTTGGTGGGTCGCACACCCTATTTAATGACTCTCTCTCTCTCTCTTCTAATTTTGTAGTTTTCAATAAATTTTAACCAATGAGAGTGAGTGTGTTAAGAAGAATGTGTTATTACCGTCTCTCTATGTGTATATTATTTAGTCTTCAAGTTATGTTAAGATTATTTATATACAACAATAGCCTTATCCCACTAGGTATAAAAGAAAAATAGTTGCTCTCTTTCTATGGATAAGGTATGTCTCTAGCTTCCATGGTAGTTTCAAGAAGGCAACTATCTGAAAATTGGTACAATGTTGTTTGATTGTGATGGAAGTTGTATATTCCAATTTTAGATTTGCATTGATTTGTGCTATAAGCGAATTACGTACCCATATAATTATGTTCCGGTAAGTGTGATGATCACCAAAGAATTCTCAATGAGATGGTCATTAAGGAAACCTAGTTACTATCCCGACCTGGAACATTCGGTGAATGTAACTTGGCCTCCTTGGAGCCCTTCAAGCTTACATATATTAGTTTTATCCCCTAGATAAGGATCCCTTGCTTCTTGCCTCAATCTCGTGAATTGTGTCGTGCCTTTAATGCTATAATACCCATGAATCTTAGTCATTATGATTATTATCGTAATCGTTTTGCAAATCACAAACGTTTAACTAGGTTATTGTTCTCTGTCAACGTCGATAGTCGATCAAAGGGAGACTAGTACAATACAGAGTCTTCATGCTCAAACATGAAGGTGTGAAGAACTTGAGTGTCTTCGTGTTCTCTGTTGGCATGGATAGTTGTCTAAAGGGAGACTAGTACTATATAAATTCCATTTATATTTTCATATGATATTATTCACTCTAAAAAATTAAAGGTTAAATTATATTTTTGGTCTTTTATCTTATTTGTTAGATTAATTTTAGTCTTTTATCTTTTAAAATGTTCATTATGGTCCTTTATCTCTTAAATTTAGATCTTTTAAAATAATGATTTTTTATAATTTTGAGACATGATTTTAGATTATTTTTTTACAGATCCAATACTTAAATTTATTTCTTTAGATTCACTTATATGAAAACCATTAAACACAACTAAAGTTTAAATAAAAAAATATTACAGACATGATGAAAATTGCATAAAAACAATGTTAAAAGGAAATTAAAATTTCAAAAACTATAATTTCATACTATTTTCTAGTTGTTTATTAGACATGTTTTTTATATGATTTTTATTATGTTATAGCTTATGAATTCAAACGTCAATTAAATTTTATAGTTTTTATATAGTTGAATCTATTATTATAAATTTTATGTCTCAAATTAATTAAAAATTAATTCAAAATTGAGTTATAAAATAAAAAATTATTGTTGTTTTAAAAGGGACCAAATTGATCCAAATATAAAAGATAAAGGATCAAAATAAACATTTTAATAGATAAAAGATTAAAATGAATCTAATAAATAAAATAAAGGATGAAAAGTATAATTTAACCAAAATTAAATTACATCAATCTCTCCAACATGATTACATGCCACTTGGTGCTCTGAAATATCTTAGGAAATAAGAAACTTTGCATTAGTGTTGTAGTTTTCCTTTCACCAGTAATTTGATATTTATATAATCAATGTAGGTCGAAGATGATGGTGATGATGACATTGAAGAATTTTCAAATGCTTCAGAGGTAATTTTTCCTAACCTTACAGACGAATGCATGTACATACTGACATGAAACTAGTTTTTAATTGTTTATAGTTTATAAAAGGCATGGTGTTAACCTTTTATATACTAATTGTGTTTATAATAATTGTTTTATTTAGGATAATGATGATGAAAGCGACGAAGACTGGGCTGCTTGAGAGTGATCTAAGTTGTGGTTGCTAGGCACAAGAAATGACAAGGCAAGTTGATGCAAGTGATGTGATAATGCCCCTTTGTCTCACCAGTCACCAAGATAGACCAAACCAAATGCAATGAGTTAGCTTTGTATACCCCATTACCTTGGTGCATGTATGAATGTGAGAATAGATGTAATATCCTGAGGTTATGATGGAGAAAGAATGAAATTTATTCACTGTTTACCAATCCAATCTTTTATCACACAATTGGGAATATTATATTCTTAATTCCAATTATCTTTTAAAGAGTTCCACAGGGATGAATGGTTCCCTTTTCTTTAATCGAGAGTAAGGAATAATTTTAAAATTGGGGGCCAATTGAAATCAGAATTAGGGCTACATGTAAGAATAGTTTGGAATTATTTAGCTTGTTCATTGTCTTGAAAAGATAATATGATTGTCTTTAATTGCCCAAAGGGTTAATAACTTGAAATAATAAAGATGGTCTCTGTCATTCAATTGTCATTTTCAAAGCTTTATATCATAATTTGATATTTCCTCACTAAGCCAAAGTCCAATAGATTCTCATGTCTTTTAATTAAAGGAAAAGAAAACAATTTCCCTCTCAAACTAAAATTCGAGCTTTTTAACGGTTGTTCTTATATGGCAACCCAATATATTATTCTGAATGAGGGAATGGATTCAGAAGTCACGATTGTCTGCTTGTTCATCTTCGGAAAAAGGTGGTCATTGTCACGTCTTTTATTATTAGATTGTTTTACTATAATTAGTCAAATAAAAACAAAAACGGATAAGGTTCATTAGTCAAATCTATACCCTATTAGGTTTGAATCCAAGTTCAAGCTCAAATAATTAATAGCAATTTTTCTAAAATAAAACCGCAATCAAATCAGTAAAAAGACTAGTTTGAAGTTCAATGATCTGGCTGTAATCAAACTACGGTGAACAGGTAATAATAAATTTATATTTTAATATTATATAATATTTTAAATAATAAAATAATATAAAGTTGTGAAAATTATATATTTATAAGATAAAA